ATGGATGAGTAAAGAGAAGCCAGAGTCCCCAAAAGCAAAATAACTTCTTGCATAGGAAGAGCCTTCAATTCCAAAATCTCCACAGTGTAAAGATGCAAGGGACATGGTTACATCTGCCCAATAAGAGAATCAAGAAAACTCACTGGAAGAAGGCAAAAACACAAAGTATCAGACAGGTGAGAGGATGAGGAAAAAGAGGAGGTGAAGTATGAAAACTAGAGACAGACTTTACAAAAGAACTTTCACAACCTAAGGATTCCTAGTAAAGGGAGACTACAGGTGTGCAAGGAATGGAGAGGTTGGCATCAAAGATTCCAGAACTAAGAATCAGCTCCAAGAAAGAGTTACCACCCAAAGACACAGCAGACCACCTTTGGGAGAGAGAATATCAAATAGAAGCAGTTAGATGTGGAACAGGAGAGGGTGTAGCCCACAGGACTCCCATGATCAGGTAGTCAGCAGAGGCATCCATGGTTTAAGTAAGAAGGAAAACTAGAATATAAAAGAAATACTGTTGGCAAACAGCCACAGCCCAAGAATCTATGGAATTGGGAATACCTCCAAAGACTGGTGCAGTGAGAAAAGGGGCAAGAATTAGGTCATCAAGAGAGGAGGAAGGAAGTGGACACCCAATAGGAGATCATCCAAACCAAAGATGTCCCAAGAACAGAGAAGCCAAGTCAAAACTGAGACAGTAGTGGTTCTCCCCCATCAAAACTATCATGGTTACAATAAAGAGCCACAGTGTGGAAGTGAAGGGTGGAGATATAAGTAAAGGAGTAAAGATAAAACAAAAATGAGCTGATTGCAAAAAATAAAGAAACAAAGAAGGAGAAAGAGGTGTGTCCTAAGCAGGCAAAAGAGTTTCAAGAAATACAGAAGAATCATGACCTTAGCCACAGCAAAACAGCCAGAAAGACTAGGAGGACAATGAGGATGTTGATCAATAAGGAGTTGAGATAAAAAGAAATCCATGAAGTAAAACAACTCAAGAGTCATTATGATACAAAGGTGAAAGAGATAAAGTCACATGCCTGAGTTATAAGCATATCAAAAAGAAAAGAAGGAAGTAGATTCCTTTTCCCAGAGAAAAGAGCCAGAAGTGAAGGGTGAAAGTGGAACAGTTAGCCAAAACTGCCCACAGGCACAGCAGGCTTCACATAAGGCAAATGAAACAGAAAAAGTGGGACCTGACCGGGAAAATAAGAAGTACCTTGCAAGGACTGAAATCTATGACCTGTCACTCTTCTAAGAGAGCTAAATGGATAACCACTGAACATCAGTTCCATTAACTTTTTCAGCACAGGCTCCGTTGCAGGGACCGACTTCATAACCATTATGTGCTTGTCATACTTTTTATGCTATAACTTTTAAATTAGTAAGCATATGTTCATGAAATTTGGCAATTATCAGTAAACATTATACGGCTTTCATATGCAAAATATCAGATTTTTTTATTAAATCTTAAGGTTTGTTAAATGTTTTTCTCGTGCCTTTTTTCTTTTTGCATGTTGCCTATCCAACATGCAAAGTAATTTTCATTTTAAAATTAAAAAATACTTTTATACCTAAAAAATTTTCATATTTCATGTGTAAAATCTTTACAACATCCAGATAGTTATCAAACATTTCTTAAGAAAAACTTTATATTTCATCTGTTATTTTCAGTAACAAATCTCTGTAAAGGTTCAGTCGATTTGACCAATCTCATAGCCACCATAAAAAATTAGGAAATAAATATACATTATGCCTTTTTCATTCTAGAACGATTACAGATTATAACAAGAAAATACAAATGTTTAGACTAAATAGCTAACCTCTCATAACATTATACATTTATATATATTTATTATTTTTTTATTATATTGACCTTTCAGCCATGCCTAGCTGACAATATAGAAGTTACAATGACATGGCACTCATGTTACCATATATTATAATATAAAACTGACCTTTAATCTTTACAAAGTGACCTGTCTTGGCTGTATTTTAGTGGACTAGTATTTTGTTAAATACAGTCACATTTCAATTATTATACATAATTACTATTTACAAATAAGTTCTTAAACTTATTTATCTTAAAACATAGAACAGTAAATAAAGAAGTAAAGCAAACATTTATCTCTTCTAGTTATGACCTTTATACTCATTTGCTGCTTGTTGCAGGTTGTTAAGACTCATAGATTTTTGCACATGAAAGATATGAAACGAAGTAATTCTTTTTAGGTTATATATATATACATTTGAAACAACCAAAAAATTATAAATTACTATATGAATATCACAGAATTCCACTATAATTTATCAAACTTAGTAATTAAGCTGTATTTGGGTCTAAAAAATATGAAATTTCAAGCAAACTAAAGATTCAACCTACCAGCTTGAAGATTTGTATCGAAAAACGAGATGATGTCTTAATACTTGAAAATGGCTGAGAAAGCCACTTGGGGGACATTCTGAGCTTTTGATTGGTTATTCCCATCATAGACAGAAGTGTATATAAGGGAGTGTTTCCAAAAATGGAAAGAGGTGAGCGGAGCCACTGTGTTTGATTCAGTACATGAGCGACATCTCAGCAAATAGAAAATATTGGAGGTTCTTATTTTATATTCTAGCTTGTTAATATCGGTAATTTGAGTTCCTAATTCGTACAAAACTATAGACTTTGTATTTTGACATCACAAACATCTAATTTGAACCAGTGCTCCATTGACCCAGTTGCAGAACATGTCTGAAGAGGAATGTCTGGGTCTCAGGCATATTTATTTTCATGGGTTTGTTGTTGCAAGTAGCACCAAAAAAAATGTGGTGGCTAAAGAAAAATGTAATCAGGTGGATGAAACAAAAATGCAGAGGACAAAAGCAATGTATCACTAAATAAAGATAATCAAAGAGACTAGAAAATCAAAAAGCACATTTGAATAGAGGTAGTGCCAGGGAAAGAATGAGCTTATGATCATGTGCTAGTGCTCACAAGGACTACTGTTTATGGAGGTTGTATCATTCTCCTATTAGTAGAGGGCTACAGCATTATGAGAATTACATCATAGGTTGGCACAAGATATGTTGACACATTTAGGGATGGGAGTTTGTTCAAGGCTTTTGGTATGAGCAGAAAATACAAAGGCAGTTGCATGTGTGGTAATAGCTTTTAGTGGTGCATTTCTAAAATGACAAAAAAATGACTAATTATGATCTTATCTCAATCAAGTTAACACTTAAGTTTAAAACTTGTGTGAAATTGTAAGCATTTTAGCTGATTAGTAGGTTTTGCTAGACTTTCAAGTTTTTTGTTACTGTCACTGGTGCCAGTCCACTTCATTGTAATTTCATCCATGTAAATGTTCTTTTGACCACTGTCATTATCTTCTACAACATTATTTTTACACATTTCAATCAAATTTTCTTAAAAACCTATGTAATAAAAATGTGCACATCATATCTCTTGAAAACAGTGAAGAACTCAATTCTAATTGACACATCTATTATTGTTACTTATTGTTCTCTATGTGGTTACAAATTAATGTTTATTGCTTGAAAATGACAATGTTAACTCTGACATCAGTCTGTAGAATTTTCAGCACTTGATTAATTAATACTTATTCATAGAATAATGTAACTAGATATTAATATAAATTACAACTCCAACACTTTTCAAATGTAAACACAACAATAAATTAAAAAGCTAATGTTTATAATTTTTTTTTCTCAAATGAAGATGAATTGGGTTACAACATGTATAACTGGAATATTGCTAAATTAACACGAGTCCATGGTAAATGTGGGTAAATAATAATAAACACAACTAATTCAGATAACACATTCATTACTTCTGTAGTGAGATTTAAGTTCTATCAAAGGGCATTTTAAAGCCAAGTGAAAGTTTAATGCAGAAACAGCAGATGTGTTGAATGCTTGTTTCAGTTTTAACATTTCTAAGATCTCAGTGATAGATGGACCACTGAACAATAAGATTGCTCCTGTTATCAAACTTTCAAAGGCAATAAATTGTAGCCTCCAGTTTATACAACCAGTTTTTGTCACAATATACATATGTTCATAGTGTGTCTAAGTGTGTATGACTATGCAGCAAAAAATTAGCTATAATCCTCAAATTTAAATACATTCAAATATATGAATATCAATCAAAGAACAAAAATACTACATTCATGGTAAAGATGATATTTCAGATAACTACATTTGTAGCTGCAATATTAGTTTGTGTATACAATAGTTAACAAGTCTCTCATGAGCCAAGAGGTGTCTTTACACTACAATTTGTGGAATATTAAAAGTAAGTTCAATCCAGAAACTCCAAAAGAAGGTGGTTTTGGATGTATCTTTTTGTGACAAGTTTTCATTTGTTAATTGATAAATTTTAAAGTGAAATACAGCATCCTCAAGTCTCCCCACTAGCTAGTACTAAGGTCTACTTGCTAGGAGTAAATTCAGTATAAATCAATAAAGCCACATTCTCAGCATCATTAATTAAGCAACTGCCAACCTTTTATGTTTCTGCTATCACCTTTTTTATGTTTAGCTTTCAACTGAGGTATGAACGATTTCATCTGCAAATCGGTAGGAAAAATTGAAGCATCATGACAGTCAGCAATAGGATGAGCATACAGGAAAATTTTGAAAGCAGCTACAGGCATAATGTTGTATTTGGCTTGCTGCATAATATCTACCAAGGTGGTTCTAAACAGTTGCTCAATACTGTCATTTGGAGACTTCCATGCTTCTTGTGCTTGGCCGTTAAGCTCATGATGTGCTGATGAATTTAAGTACCATACCACTTCAAATCACTTTTTGTAGCCCCAAAGTTAAAAGAGTGTGAGAAATGCCTTCTTTTTAGCCAATAAAAATGTCCAAAAAATTTCAGTTCAAATTAAGAAAAACCGGATTGGGTAGTTTGGTTTTTCAACAAAAATGTCTCCAATTAGCTCATGAGGGGCCTGTTAAAACATTTCTGTTAAAACAGTATTCCCTTTAAAACTAACCTCAACTACTCCTTCTCGATTCATTATCAGAATCCTATGGTGACCAGAATCTGCTATTACAACTCTTTTGCCAACATCATCTACACAGACTTTACCAGGAAAAAGTAGAGGAGAAACAGGTAGAGATTCACGCAAAAGCTTAACAGGCACAGGTGAAGAAATGATACTTCCTCTCATCCTAAAATATTCTACAGCTGTCTCACAAAATAGCTGCAAGTATTCTCTTTCACCTTCTCCCACCAGGGTAAAAAGAACTTGGCTTTGAGGACCTTTGATCAATGAAGAAATATATTAAAGTTCATAATAACAAATATAAATAATTTAAAATATTTTATATAATATACATACATATTTTTTCTTATGGAAACAATGAGAACAGAGTCACTTCACAACTACTGTTTTTTATTCAGTTATGACTTGGGTAATCCTTCATTGCACTTTCTCTATCAGACTGATATTTTTCCAATACTGAAGACCATCAAACTGAGCACAATACAACAAATGAGGTTCAAAAGAGTTCTATTTGTAAGTGGACAATAAACTTTGTAGCCATATATTTAAATGTTCAGAGATAGATTTTGATACTAGGTTGTAATTTTATTCATCACAGCCAAAACTCAAACACCCAGTTACAGATTTAAAGCTTATTAAAACATTCATGCCCAGCTTCATCTCCACAACACTAACATTTTTCTTAAGCATGATCTTTTTATCTAAGCTTCTGTTTCCTAAGTTCATGATTTACTGTTCTGAATTTTCCTGTATCGGGAAATCCCCCCCCACAATATGTTATATTTCTCAATCAAAATAAGATGGAAAAAAAAATCTATTGTAATTAACGTATAGAACTACCTATCAAAACGTTAAGTTCAGAAAAAGTATACTGTAATCTATGATATATACACGTGTGTGTGTGATATTGCAATAAAACAGCACAGATAGATCTAGAGTAGCTTTGCATGAAATTCAACAAGCATGCAATAAAATATATAGTAATTTAAACACACCATTCTTTATTTGACTACAATAAGTTTCCACTAAGAAGTGCATTTAACAGTATTTAAGTATATCTTGTTTGTAGTATGCTTCTGCTACCAGCAACTTTTACTTCATAATACAGCTCATATGGTTGGTTAAAGTGTTATTTATATCATCATTTATGGGGCAAGTCTTAGGGTGTGAAACACCTCAGTAGCAAGCATACATGTGGCATAGCATTAAGTAATAACACTACTATTCAAATGCACATATCACATCATCAGACCAGCCTTTCCACAACTTTGTAACTTTTAACGTTGGAAAACATTCTCTCTAAAAACAAGTCTACATCTAGGCTATCAGCTTAACCTACTCACCCTATTATTAAATGTTTGTATTACCATTCTTTCCATTCCACTACTCAGACAAGCAACAAGACAAATTTCCAAACTTCTAACAATTTTAAGCACCTGAATCAAGATAATCCAAATTATTATATGGGAAGATGGGTGGGAAATACAAGCGAAAGTATCTATCACAAATACAATTTCAGTGTAGGAAAATTTTATCTTTTTTGATACAGTACCTTATCTCTACTTACATAATAGCAAGAATTCCACACTGAAATGGTGGAGAGACCAGTGCAAAAGTTACTCAGATGAACATTCTTTTGAAGGTGCCCAAAGAAAACCCACGGAGTGTGATACCCTAATGTATGGGGTTACGCTTGTGGGAGACCACACCTCGTTCTGTACCAGGTATACGTTTTGCCCATTGTAAAAATATGTGCTGCTAAATCAGGTGGAAAAGACACACATCCAATTTGTAATTGGATGCACCAGATTGTGTAGGGTGTCAGATGGTGTTTGGTGGATCAAATTCAGTCCAGAACTAGACATAATCAGTTATTTGTCTTCCGGTCCACAGTAAGATGAGGGTCCAAATTGTCCTCACCTCAAGACCAGAAAGCAAAAGAGAAAATAACATTCATTTTGACAACCCACCTGGGGCACCTCTAGTCCAAAATTAGATGACATCTGGAATTTTTCATCCATTCTACGGTAGGAAGAGAGCCCTTACCAACTACATGTGTGAGGACTTAGGTTGGCTGCTTCTATACCAATCCAACACCAGACTGCCCACAAACTGACATCCAAGCAGCAGTAGGATGGGTAAAAGCCAGCTAGAAGGGTGAACTGCATGTGGTGAATTCGTCCAGTCCAAAACCAGATAGAATCAAGTATTTGTCTTCCAGTCTGTGGCAGGAGGAGAGTACTCACCATCTACACCAACAGGACATCACTGCCCTACTCTCGACTGAGTGGAATTGGTTACACTCAGGAGGAAGCTTCCATGGTCCACCCCAGTGGCTAGGAACTTGTAAGTGGTAAGGACTCCCATACTCCACTGGTAGAGGGGGAGATCAATACAATGGAGAATCCAGAGGAATGCAACACCTTATGACAGTGCAACGGTAACCACAAACACCCTATTTTGAAAAGCATGTTGGTCTTGGTTTGTCAAGAATGATTGGAGGGATGTGCAGAAATCCCAACAATGCTATACTCATGAAAGTTCATAAATTGGTGGACTGTATTTTGAAGCAAGATACTGTGAGGTAACCTCGAGTGGTCTTGTGAAACACTTCACCTATTCATTGAGCATTATAAACCCATACAGCCGTTTGTATGGTGGGTATTTAAACCTGGACAGGTACCACTCACTACAGAGCAGGATCCAGAGATGTAGAAATAGGCCACTGTAAAGGTAAAGCACAAAAAGATTATTTACCCATTCAGAGTCATTAAGGGGAATGTAGTACGACAACAGGAGGAAGTCAATATCCAGAAGGAACAACAAGATGAAAAAATGTGCAATAAAAGTAAATGGGATAGTCTATATGTCCATTTTCATGAGCCAATGAGAGAGTAAGGTGTCATATTTGGTAAGAGTCAATCTGAATCTACATCCAATGAAGCACAGATCAAATGGATGAGGTGCTGTTGCCATTCCTTGAGAGTGAGAGGAGAAACATCTCAGGGAGATGAGGAATTCCAAAGAATATATAGATGGGAGCATGAACCATGAAAAGGAGCAGATCGGGCCAATAAACAATGAACCATGCAAATGGAGCAGAGAAAACAATTTGAAAGAGAAGGTGAATAATATGAAGAAATGGAAGGAAAAATAAAGGAAGCAGCAATGGCATATACATCATATCTCCCACAGCAACCAACAAAAAACAAGTAGGACCTAAGTGAAAAATGGAGGGTAAGCATGGAGAAAACAAAACTGGACCAGTCTTGATGGAATGCATCCCAGCTGAGGATGAGTCAGAAAAAGGGAAGTAGTGTATTAAGAAGAGTAGCAAAAACATCTAGAAAAAGAGTGTCCAGATGAGAGCACAGCCACATGAACATCAGAGAAAAAAGGGAACAATTCATAGGTAGTATCTTGGCGGGCCTTGAGAAACAATCAACGACAAGACTCAGGGCATCCAAAATAGAACAAGTTATTATATTCTTCCTCAAATTGATGTGGGGAATGCTGATAGACTTCAGACAAAATTTAGAGGAAATATAAATAAACAGTAGTGAGAGCTGACCAAATCTGAGAAAATGGTGATCTGTTCAAAGTGATCACAGAGTCCAGTCTGTAACTCCATATATCCAAAAGAGGATCTAGACTTTGGAAATCTAAGTATACATCCTCCTGGTTGTGGCAAGTCAAAACATACAGTTCAGACAAATATGGGGGACAAGGCATAGCTATCCTGTCATGTAAATGAGCAGTAAATCCCCCAGCATGAACAGCAATATCAGGTGAAAGAGGAAAACTAAGTAGTCACCCTCGGACCTTTCAGCCATCAAGGAAGGAGTAGATTCAAAGGCAACTGCAGAAAGCCCCAAAACCCAATTGAAGAAATGGAGCAGGAGGTGGCTGATCCAAATTGGCCTTGTGAGAAGCCAACTTAGTAAACAAAGGTGCTAGAAAAAGAGAATATAAATTCTCTCCAGACAGTCCTGGATCATCAGCAAAAGCAGCCTCAGAACCCCATAGAGAGAGATGCCCCAGAACTAAATATATGCCTCTGTCTCACAACGAATCAGGTCATGAACAGCCTCAACTTAGCCTCTATACTGGAAAAAGTAACCTATTTTTTTACAGAAAGCTACTAGGCAATGTGAAAATCACAACCAAGGACATTAACTATCACAGCAATTCTGTAGAGAAACCCATGTCTAAACACTTTGTCAAGAAAAAGTGACAAAATTTTCTGAATGAGGTGCTTATATACAATACCAGGATAGAGGGTGCATTGACGTAGGTGGAGAGTATCACAAGATAAATATTGCCCTGGCAGTTGGGTAATATAAGTGTCAGCAGAGGTAAGTATGTTTTGTAGTGGAAGTTACTGACTCTTGCAAAAAATGTCTCGTCAAATCAAAAAGTGATGATAGTGCTCTACAGCATAGAGGGAGTCAGCAGCACTTGGAGGGTGTGTCACACTCCTACTGATGGAGGGTTGTTGTATGCTCATTTGCATGCTACAGCACAGCTATACCATGTCTAATCACATGAGGGTAGTTGGGAGCCTCAACACTAGTGGTGACAAACAATTGCACATATAGAGGGCAGCACAAGTCAAGAAAAGCAATTATGTAAATGGAGGTAAGATAGCATATCAGAATTATGTTCAATGGTAAGAACTGTAAACCTAGGAGAGACAGATTTAAGATTTGGCAAAGTAGAAGTTAATGTAAATTATGCAATTTTATATTTTTAATAGAGTGGTTAACCTTTGAAACAGATTACCATAGAACAGGGTAAACACAGCATGATTAGGAGAGTTTACAGAAGGGCTTGATGAGTAGATGGGGAGTCAGGGCTGGATATAGGCAGATGGGTGTTTGATTAAATGAATGGGATGGCCACAATAGACCAAGGGAACCCTTGCTGTTCCTCACAAATTATGTTACTATTTGTTGTGTAGTCCACGGTTTGTTTGAAATAATTATTTATGTACTTTAAATACCTCACTTGAAAGCATAAAACTTACAAATTCACAATTAATTTGTCACATTATATATGCACTACCCAAATGTATAAAAGATAAAAAAAATAAAGAAAGAAAAGTGTTTTTAAATTCATAAACATCACACCAAATGCAAGTGAGAACTTACCTAAAATAACAAGTGTTGGCCAGCATATTACCTGAAGTTCTTTCCATAACCAACCCTGTGGATCATTTACCACAGGATGGGAAATATTATATCGAAGAACAGCACTCATAAGATTAGATAAAACTTTTTCATTTTCAAACTTTGCTGAATGGACACCAACAACAATTAACTCCCTGTTCTCTGGAAATCTCAATTCTAGATTGTGCAGATCAGGAAGAATGTGCATACAGTTGATGCAACAGTATGTGAAGAAATCCAGTACAACAATTTTTCTGTTTAAATGTTTGGAAAGTGATAGTGGCTGTTCTACATTCACCCAGTCCAAATCTGCAGAAAAAATATCCAAATGTTCTAAAATACCATTACTTTATCCCATTAAGTTTATACAAGAGTATGAAATGAAGAATCTTACAAATACTTTAAAAATTATTAAAGAAGCTATCTGTATCTTTCCATCTGTTAAAGTTTTCATGCAGCTAAAATTATCAGTGATATTATAGCATCATTAAAACATTTTACATTTATTTTAACCATTTACAAACTTTATGTATTCTGTAACATAAAAGAAAATCAACATAGATTTAATACAATGAGATCTTGTAACCAAGGATAATAGTTATCTGGATGATAGAAAATGTGTTGAGTTTGTATACTGAGATCTCCCCAAACTTTTTGCTACACAAGATATTATCTATGAAAACCACATTGGTAGGGATTGGGAAAACTACTTAACTGAACTCTAGGGTGGTTGGATGGGCAAGAGTAAAAAGAATGTGATCAATGGTGTTCAAACAAGTGCTGGATGATTAGTTGTATTTGATAAGTGATTTAATTGGCAGGTTCATCAATCAATTAGTACAGCACTGCTTCCAACATGATAGATGTTTCTCTGTACAAGCACAAAATAAAGAAAAAAGGACCATCCTTGTAAACTACTGCATTCTTCTAAAATATACTAACATACTATTAATCTTCCTATTTTATCCTATTTCCAGTGTTTTAAATAATTTTAGAATTATCCTTCATTTCATATGATAGACATCATCTGGAAAGTTCCATCTGCACCTTTTTCAAAAAACATTTTTTCACTCCAAAAAAAAAATAATATATATATATATATATATATATATCTTGGCACAATGGTGTTTAAAGATAATTTAGACAATATTTACATGGTGAATGAGTTTCTAATGTCAACTAAAGACTACCACACTGCTGTTATTTGGTTTATTTTTCAAATGTGCAGCTATCCCACACTGATCTTTTGCAAATTAAATAATGAAAGTATGTTTTACTATCATCAGTATGAATAATAAGGCCTAAAACAAATATTTTGTTTACTATTACATGGAATTAAAAAATAAGTTAAATATGTAGGATTTCTAAATGTTTTTATGCACTATGATTTTTCCATGTAATATTTTTTTCAAATGCTAACATTTTCCTACACTGAAAATATTTCTTGTAGATTCTTACCTCCTCTTACAGAATAGTTTTTCCAACTTGTACTGCCTTTTATATACACAAATTTTTGCTCTGCATTAGCCTTGATACTCCCACCTACCCACACATTTTCACATGAGGTAACTGCTTCATAGCACGAAACAACCCTCCACCAATAGAAGCATGACAGCTCCTAGCACAGCTGACTCCCTCTATGCAGCTTAGCTTCACTTCAAGATGGAGCAATAGAAAAGGAAAAGACACTGGAAATGGGAAGGAAAGGTGGGAATTGTGAGAGGAGGTAAGAATCTATCAGAAATACATTTTCAATGTAGGAAAATGTTAACTTGTGATACAATATCTTACCTATGCTCATAGAATAGCTAGAATCCCACACTGACCTGGTGGAGGAACACTGTAACCGTACCTAGATGAGCTCCCTTCAGAAAGCTCTCAAAGGAAGCTCATGGGGTTTATGAGTAGAGTATGTAAGACACACCTGTGGGAGACTACACCACTTCTGAGCCAGGTATACTCTTCACCCATGAAAATGATGTATTGCACTAAGGGCAAGATCATAAAAGGGATCCCTTGTGGAAAGTGGCTATAGCACAACAGAATGTAAGGGGGAGTTCAACACCAACAATACCATGATAGTAATATCTGGTTCATGGTAGGAAGAGGGTCCTCTACTGTTCACCTCAGACACAGGAACTGGAATGGAAGAAGATTTTACATTCCAAGGACCTGTGTCATCATATGTGAATGTCCAACACAACCAACACCAGTACCCCCAAAGAGTTGACATCTGGACAATGGTAAGAAGGTGGACAGCAATGTAGCAGTTCAATTTTAGTCCAGAAACACTCAGCATTGGGAATGAATCATCCAGTCCATGGTAAGAGGAGGGTACCTGGGCCACTTGCATGTGAGGATGTATGTGGTTGGTCCAGCTTCAACCAACACTGTAGGCTCAAAACAGGAGGTCCAATATGTGGAAAAGAGAGAAGCATTGGGAATGAATCATCCAGTCCATGGTAAGAGGAGGGTACCTGGGCCACTTACATGTGAGGATGTATGTGGTTGGTCCAGCTTCAACCAACACTGTAGGCTCAAAACAGGAAGTCCAACATGTGGAAAAAAAAGAGACCTGGACTGAGTTCTCCCTTGCTGAGAGCAGGACGAGACAGCCACTAAGTTGTTGTAATGAAACCCAACTGACCAGGGTCTGCAGAGATGTAAGGAAGTGAACCAAAGCCTGACAGATGGGGAGAAATTCCAAGAGATTGATTTGCAGAGATGACTCTTCAATATACCATTGGTTCGAAAGCTCCTGCATATCCATATAATCGCTCCAACGGGAATGAGAAGCTTCTGTGAAGAGGTGCACCCCCAAACTAGAAGAAGGAAGAGGAACATTCACCGTGGAGTTGTCTCTGCCCAACCACCAGGCAAAGTCCAAATGAAGAGGAGGAGGAAGATGGATAGGGGCATTTAAGGGATCCTGAATGATGTTCCAATTATCTAATAAAGCCCACTGAAGAGGCTGCATGTGGACTTGACTGAGGGGAATTGGGACTTCCAAAGAAGCCCATGTTCTCAAAAGAAACAAAACCTCTCACACTGTGAGAAAAAGGTGAGGAAATGGTCTGAACCAGAAGCTCCATAGATCACAGGAGAAGGGTGGGCCCAGCTAAGATGGGAATTGAAAACTAACCCAAGATGAACAAGGTACTGAGAGGGGAAAGAGAAGGACTTCTCTACTTTGACCAGTAGGGTCTTGCAAAAAAACAGCAACAAGGTTTCAAAATTGACAAGTTCTCCACTCCTATCTTATGACAAATACAAAATTATATTTGTATGTCAAATAGTAGATATTTAACTAAACATTATAAACCTTTTTTTTTTTTCTTTTCAGATGCAGTCATGGCTGAAGTAACAACATGGCCATCAACTAGAAGCTCAATCTTGAATTGTTTTGCAGAAAACTGGATTCTTGGTAAATTGATTGCTGAATTGGAACCAAAGAAAGATTCACAGATACCTATAAATGATGATGTTCTACTTTTCTTAATTTTTTAAATCATGGGCCATTACTGAAAGACAGTCATCAAGATGTTATCAAAGTGGTCATCTCAAAAGTGCAGGCATTCCAACTACATCCAAATGAAGTGGTCATTCCATTGTCAAACTCACAAAGCTAATCAGTAGCTATAAAAATGTGTGAAAAAACAAAAACAGGTCAAATTTTCTTAGACATGGAGATGCCTTCCTGGAATCTTTAAGTTTAATTTTTGATATTTCAAGGGACTACAAACAAAGGGGAATAGCAATCTGGCTGAAAAAAACCTCCCTATTCTATAGTGCCCTGTTGAAGAAGATCCAGAACTGCCTCAAAAAAGACTCTGACTGGAAATGGAATCCCGAGGAGTGGGAAGGATATGGGATGAGAGGAGAGTGAAGGGAAACTGAAACTAAAAATGAGCCTGTGGAAAGAACCCAAGGGTCTGTGGTGAAGTACTCCCAAACAATGGCAAAACACAAAATCCTGGCCCCACCAGACCTGTACCCACTACATAGTCACCAGGGGCACTGAAGCCATTGAAGAATGAACAGATGGTGAAGCTCTGAGACCAATGGAGCAGGCACTGGTAAAAGAGAGAATATAGTGGATGAGATGCGGAAACAGATGCAGGATGAAGTACAGACGAACAGGAAGCCAATGAGGAAAGAAAGGTGTGCAAATGCATAGACATGACTCTAGTCACCAAAGAGTCAGGAAGATCCCCAAAGCCATCTTGCTTTAAATAGGGAGTCATGTGCAAGTCCATAAGGAGGTTGGGGGTAAATGAACACTGGACAAAAAGGCATTTCAACCTATGAGATCCCAACAACAGAGGAACCATATGAGTAGGGAAACAGCATAAGATGACAATCAAGAAAGCATGGATAAAAAAACAGGGCACAAGTCCCCACACAAAACCCATCATGGGAACGATGAAGGAGAAAGAAGGATGGTGGACAACATGAGACAGATACAAAAAAATTAAGGTTTGGAAAATATAATGAAATAGTAGGATCAGAAACCCCACAGAAGCAGAAGAGAATTTATCTGCTGGGAGCTCAAAAAGGAAAAACAGACACATGGTAAGCCACACCCGGGTCTTCCATATGGTGTGGGGATTGAGGCATACTGACCCCAGAATGTAATTGGTCTACAAACCTAATGACATGAATATCAATATCCAGTGAGGTGAGGGAGAACAAGATATTGGTCCAAAGGTTTCTCCTTTAAAAGTAAAGGGTAAGGAAAAGACAAAAGGTAACATACCTGGTTTATTAAATCCAGGAAAGGAGGAGGAGGCCTGGGTGCTGCCACTGAAGCTAAACATGACCATGTAGCACAGGAAGGGGGAAAAACAGGCTGTCGAAATCCACATCCTCATGTTTCTTGTACCCTTTAACAAAGCATGAGAGGATAATCTGCAAGCGAATCAGGAGCTTGCATGAAGGTGGCCAACTCCTGGCAAACCAAGACCATAACATCTCCTGCTGACAATTGTGTTCCTAAAGCCAAAGTAGTTGCTTTTTTTGTATTTTTTTTAATAAGGTTAACTGTAGGAGGAACAGCATTCATAGTAGCTGTAACGTGAAACTCAGAATTCATTTCAATGAAGAGTGGAAGTAGTAAAGTCCAAACAGGAAGCTCTAGAGAATCAAGTATTATAATAAAAGAAATCTAACACTATCGTGTACTAAATAAAATTTCAGCATTCACGAGTAGCAGATGTGAATAAAAACAAAGTTTTTAAAAAAAAAAAAAAAAAAAAAAAAAGGGGGACTGATGGAAAATTCCATAAAAGAAAGCATAAACAAAAACTCCA